AGTTTTAAAAATGTAAAGAAAACAAGACACTGGAGATAGGGGAGGCTGGGGGAGGTCAAAGGGAGGGGAAAAAAGACATATATAATACTCTTTGTAATACTTTAAGCAATAAACAAAATTTAAAAAGAAAAGAAAGAAAACCTATGAGACCTATTAGACTCCATTAGGAGAGCCAACAGAAAAATGAATAATGGGTATACCAGAAGAAGAAGGGGGTACAGAGGGATTACTTAAGTAAATAACAGCTGAGAAATTCCTATAACCTGGGGGAAGAACTAGGCATACAAGTCCATGAAGCTGTTAAACCACTTTACTATCATAAGGCAAAAAAGACCCTCTCCAAGACATATTATAATAAAGCTATCAAAAGTTAATGATAAAGATATTAAAGACATCCAGCTAAGAAAAAGAAATTATCCTACAAAAGAATACCCATTAGATAATAATCAGATTTCTTAGCAGAAACTCTGCAGGCAAGGAGAGAGTGGAATGACATATTCAAAGTATTGAAAGGTAAATATTGCCAGCCAAAAATACTCTAGTCAGCAAAGTTATTCTTCAGATATGGAAAAATAGAAGCTTTTTCAGTCAAATAAAAGCTGGGTGAGTTCACCACCATTAGACCAAAAAGAGTATTTTATCTGTAAAACATTTTATACAAACCTCATCGTAACCACACAACAAAAATCTAGAGTAAAGACATGAAACATAAAAAAGGGTGAAATTGAGCACATTATTATAGAAAGCTGCCAACTTTAAAGGGTAGGCAAAAACACAAGGAAAAATAAACAATAGAGATATACAACAACCAGAAAACAAAAGATAAAGTGGTAGTAGTAAGTCCCCATATATCAGTAATTACCATAAATGTAAATAGATTCAACTCACCGACCAAGGGCATAGAGTAGCTACATGAATTAAAAAACAAGACCTAACTATATGCTGCCTTCAAAAAACTCATTTCAGCTCCAAAGACAAGCATGGGCTCAGAGTGAAGGGGTTGAAGAGGATACTTCAAGCAAATAGTAACCAAAAGTAATCAGATTTATCAGACAAATAGACTTTAAATAAAAAAAAAATAATGGTAACAAGAGACAAAGAAGGCTGTTATATAATGATAAAGAGGTTAATATTTCAAAAAGGTATAAAAATCATAAATACATAGGCTCCTGACCTATGAGCACTAAAATATATTAATCATAGCATATGTTAATGGAGAAATAGAAAACAATATAAAAATAGTGGGGGATTTCAATACCCCTCTATCAGCAATGGATAGACTGTTCAGACAGAAAATACTTTGAAACACACTATAAAACAATGGAACTAGCCTGGCCAGTGTGGATCAGGGGTTGAGTGTCAACCTATGACCAGAAAGTCATGGTTCAATTCCCAGTCAGGACACATGCCTGAGTTGTGGACTCAATCCTTGGGGGGGGCGGGGGGGGGGGGGTAGTAGGCAGCCAATCAATGATCTTCTCTCATCATTGATGTTTTTACCCTCTCCCTGTCCTTTCCTCTTTAAAATAATATATATATTAAAAAAACACAAAGGAGCTAAACACACATACATAAAAAATTCCATCTAACAGCAGCAGCAGAATACACATTTTCTCAAGTGCACATGGAGCATTATTCAGGAAAGATTATATAATAAGCCACAAAACTAATCTTAAAATGTAATCTTTTCTCAGACCACATTGGCATGAAATTAGAAATCAACAATAAGAGAAAAATGAATAGATCTTCAAATCTGTGGAAACTAAACAACATACTTTTAAATAACCAATGGTTAAAAGAAGAGATCAAAAGGGAAACAAAAAGACATTACCCTAAAACAAGTGAATATGAAAATGCATTTCAAATGTTGTGGGGGTGCAGCAAAAGCAGTTCTGAGAGGTATGTTTATAGCAACAAAAACTCTATGTTAAGAAATTAGAAAGATCTCAAGTATACAACCTACCTTTGCATTCAAGAAACTAGAAAAAGATGATACAATTGAGCCCAAACTTAGCAGAAGGAAGGAAATAATTAAAAGCAGAGCAGAAATAAATGAAATAGAGATCAAAGAAACCAAACAGGTTCAGCAAATCTGAAAGCTGATTCTTTGAAAAGATAAACAAAATTGGCAAACCTTTAGACTAAGAAAAAAGAAAGAAGACTTAAGTAAGTACAATTATAAATGAAAGAGGAGACATTACAACTGATACTACAAAATTATAACCATAAAGACAAACAATCCAATTTAAAACTGGCAAAGAACTTGAATAGACAACATACAGATGGCCAATAGACATGAAAAAAAATGTTCAACATCACTAATCACCAGAGAAATGCAAATTAAAACACAATGAGATATCACAGCACACCTATTAGAATGGCTATCATTAAGAAAACAAGAAACAATGGGTGAAAAATCAAAAAAGAAACAACAGATACTGGTGGGAATGTAAATTAGCCCAACCACTATGGAAAACAACATGGAGGTTTCTCAAACACTAAAAATAGATCTTCCATACATTCCAGCTATTCTACTTCTGAGTATGCTGTATACCCAAAGGAAATGAAAACAGGATTTTGATAAGATATGTGTACTCCCATGTTTATCACCACATTATTCACGATAGTCGAGATATGAGAACAACCCAAATGCATGAATGGTTAATAAAGATGTGATATGTATATACACAATGGATTCACCTATGAGAAGAACACACATCCTGCCATTTGAGACAACATATTTGGACCTTGAGCACATTATGCTAATGTAAGATAAGTCAGATGGAGAAAGAGAAGTACTATATGAAATCACGAATATGTGAATTCTAAAAAAAATAAATCCTACCTATAAAAAAAAACACAAAGTAAAATGATGGTTACCAGGGGATGGAAGGTGGGGGTAAGATTGATGGTATTTTGGGGTACAAACTTGTAATAAGTAGTAAATAAGCCATAGAGACTTAATGCACATATAATGAACACAGTCATTATTACTTATTATAATGATGTAATGTGATAAATCTTGCTTCAAATGCAATCATATTACAATATATAAATATATGAAAGTAACATACTATAAACCTTAAATTTATAAGTTGTAATATCAAATTTATCAAATAAAAATAAATTTTATACATAAAAGAGTTCCAAGAGAGAATAAGTAAATAACTGTGGAGTGAATTTTCTATCTCTCATAATAATCCAATATTATGCCTTTGAAGATTTTATTTCCCCCATTAATTAATGTTCTTCCTCTCATTTTCTTCTCTTATAATCCTGCCCATTCATTGAGGCTCAATCTAAAAGCCTTTTGCTGTGCCTCAAACCTACATATGGTCCCTCATGTGAAACTTCATTGTCCATCCCTGCATTTGCTTATATATATATATACTTTCCTGGGTTGTAAGCTTTTGAAAGGCAGTGACCTGAAGTTTGTTCATCTTTCACTTCCCATGTTTGTTGCATGACTAAAGGTTTGCAAAGAATTGTAGAGGAAAAACATTTCTATGTTTTTACTATTTCTACGAGGTTCCATGCCTAACTGGGGCATGCTCTGCTACAGTTATTTTAGACATGGATATATATATATACTTTCCTGGGTTGTAAGCTTTTGAAAGGCAGTGACCTGAAGTTTGTTCATCTTTCACTTCCCATGTTTGTTGCATGACTAAAGGTTTGCAAAGAATTGTAGAGGAAAAACATTTCTATGTTTTTACTATTTCTACGAGGTTCCATGCCTAACTGGGGCATGCTCTGCTACAGTTATTTTAGACATGGCTGATGGTAGCTCAAAAAAAGAACAGGGCTGGAGAATGCTATATCTGAGCCCAGTCCATCTTATTTTGTAGCAGGAAATTTACAGGGCTTCATTATAATTAAGGAATTCTATGCAGGGTGGCTCTCCATCAGCCTATGACCTATGACCTACTATTATAGATTCTGCTGTTTTATTCTAGGTGCCTTTTCTGTGTAAATCCAGAAATGTCCTATAAATGCTAACACATAACAACTAATACCTTTGTTATCTGTGAGCATCTTAACCTGGATCATAAAGAATCAGTTTGTGAAGTTGGAGAGAGAAATTGATGAAAAAGATAGGGGAAAGGAAAGAGTCTGTGTTATTGAAGCATGAGTATTCCTAAACAAATTTCAATTTCATTCACTTTTGCTAAGATACAGGCAAGCTATGCAATCGTGCCCTGAAAGCTATGGTCCAGATATTCATAGCTCCCATTCATTTATTGGCCCTCTATTATCCTTCCTAGCAATTATCTAGTTTATGAACATTATTTCTAAACCTTAAAACTATTTATAATTACTCCATTTTTCAAATGAGAAAATTGTGATTCAGAAAGGTTAAATTACATAGTCATGATTGCCCATCTAGTAAATAGACAAAGATTTGAATACAAACTTACATTCCCCTCATCCCCCCTGATATGCTTGCTGCCTTTTTTAAGTAGGTGGCTTCTGCTAGCCAGCTGGACATAGGGAAAATGGTAAGGAAGACAGAAATCTTTTCTTGTCAGGCTGGTATATTCTCATTGCCCTTGCCATGCATTATTTCAGAACCTCAAATTGCTATGGAAAACTCAGTGTTACCCCTTTCTGACTTGGTATTGGCCTTTATAAAGAATAGGACAAGAACCAGGATGACTAATCCTTCATCTCTCACCAGGAGGAAATTTAACTAGTGTCTTTGTTTTTGTGCAAAAGAAAACGAAAATGAATTTGTGATATGCAAATGAATCTCTCAACTGTCTGTTAATTTCTACTGTTTACTCAAAAGTGGGAAACACCAGGCCTGTGATACATCATCTTTTGTGCGCTTGGCACCTTCCATCACAAATCATATTAATCTGCTCAAACTAACAAGGATTAATTGCCTTGGTAAGGCAAACCGGCATTGTAATGATATATTGCCCAGACAGCCTGGAACCTGGCCACTCATAAATCCCATGTTTGGTTGGTTTATTTCTGTTTGTCTCTTTCTCTGACAGATGTGTGCCCAATCACTGTGAGCATGGTGGGAAGTGCTCACAAACGTGGGACAACTTCAAATGCACTTGTGATGAGACTGGATACAGTGGGGCCACCTGCCACAACTGTGAGTGCCCATTCACCTCACTTTGAACTTGTACTACATGAGACTCCCAGGTCTTCAGCTGTGCCTTCAAACTCAGCAACCTGAATTAATCCACATACTAAATCACTCAATTCAGAAGAACCCAGATGTGTTGTTGTTTCTCCAGAACAGTATTCTAGGTGTCAAAATATATTCTTTCATGCCTAACGACTCAAAAAGAGAGGGATATTTCTAATGATCTGTAAACATGTAGTTAAAATTGGAATGCTGATCTTGGCTTTGACTCAATGTGCCCAAGCCATGTCTATCTGGGTAAATTGGAAAATTATGGTAGTGTGATGTCTCTGACTGGATCCTCATTTATCAATTCATCAGAGAGGCAGACAGAGTGTAATGTGAACATTTAGTTTCTTGGAAATGATTGTCTCATGTTCTGTCACAACTATTTGGCCACATTTATTTAGAGTAGAAAAAAGAAAAGTTAGAAAATGGAATGAGCCCATTGAAGTAATATCAAAAATAAAAACAAAAAGAGAATTTTTTAAATATAAAAAGTAACATGCAAGAGTAACTAGTGAAGCATTAAAGGGCCTTGTTTTATATAATAGCTTCACCCTGAAAAGGTAAGTAAACTTAATGTTTTATAATTCAAAGAACATTTTTAAAGGAATATTAACTCTATTATTGTAATACTAACTTTCCAAAAATGTATTGCTGTTTACAGAGCACTTTTTAAGAGAGACAGATTTGCCATTAAACATATAGTTGAAAGTCGTGTGTGTGTGTGTGTGTGTGTGTGTGTGTGTGTAGAAAGGAAGGGAGAAAGATTCAGTCTCCTTCAGTCATCACACAATATTCTGAAAGACTGAAAATCTCATGTCTAAACCCTCTTATACACTCTGCTTTCTCTTCACTTTTAAGAAGCAAAAACGAGCAAAATATGATCAGGATGGAGTTCTGGGGACAGTAAAAATGCAATATAGTTCTCTGAGCCTTTTCTATCATTATTTGTAGTCATATTCAGCCAGAGAGTGTTCAGAATATATTGGGAGACTTCAACTAGGAAAAAATATTCGTAATTTATTTTATTGCACTTATTAATTTGTTTAGAAAGATATTTAAAAACAGGATACAAAGCCGAAACCAGTTTGGCTCAGTGGATAGAGCGTCGGCCTGCGGGTTCGATTCTGGTCAAGGGCATGTACCTGGGTTGCGGGCACATCCCCAGTAGGAGATGTGCAGGAGGCAGCTGATCGATGTTTCTCTCTCATCGATGTTTCTGGCTCTCTATCTCTCTCCCTTCCTCTCTGTAAAAGTTCAATAAAATATATTTTAAAAAAAAACAGGATACAAAAAGAGCTAAGAAATTAACAATAATAGGAAGATATATAAGATAATAAAAAACAGACAGTAACTCATCATCTGAAAAATATTGATATATATAGGTATTGAGAAAGTATTAAGAACAAAACTGATATTGAAATTAGTTATAATAAAAGAGTTATAACTAAAATTTCCAATCACACCAAATGTTCACTTTCAGCATATAATACTCATTATATAAGTATTAGATAACTTCAAAAAACTAAATATTTTACTCCACCAGTTTAATTTATATAGTATTGTTCTATAAATACCACCTTTAACTATAAGGGACTTTGTTTCTGAATATGGAAACACTAAAGTAAAAGAGCAATAAATTGGTGGTTGTTTTAAGGGTTTCCTATCCTAGTGAACACTTTGATATTGAAAAGCCAATTATATTTTACAGCTGCTGAAATAGCAAAGAAAATTTTAAAATATATTTTTACATTTAAAAATATTAAAAAATATGCTCCTGGTTGAATAGTTGAGTTTTTAAAAATAGTAAAAACTATAAGTATTAGAAACATCCTACATGTGCTTAGATTTGGCTCTAGTGCAAGCTGTAAATGTAAAAGAAGAAAATGATCTCCATCCTGCTGCTCATTCCTACTCTTACTTGTTCCATTTTTATATCTAGAGCAGTAGAATCATGCATTTTTAACAATTTGACCCTGATCCCTCATTGTCTTCTTCAAATGAGGCCAAAATCTTGAAAATCCAGTGTTAGATAGAGCTTCAAAGACCATAATGCACAATTCAATAAAGAGTTGACTGGCCATTGTTTTGTTGTGAGAAAAAAATATAGACCTTGTAGCTTATTGAAGGGTAAGTGCATCCTATTAAGCTGAAAGACTAGTACTATCTCTTCCTTACTCCCATTGATTATTTAAAAGTTGGGAATGTCTGGCTGAGTAAATAACAATGTGCAGAAGTCAGGCCCGGGTCCCAGCTGCCACGGAGCCAAGCAGGCCCTGACTCCCGCGGCGGCCAGTGCTGGGCGAGTCAGTGCTCGGGTCCTGGCTGCCAGGCAGGCCCTGACTCCCACTTAGACTGGACGTCCTTCTGGATGACCTTCCAGAAGAAGCCGGGGCTTCGAGGGAAGCCCTGGTCCCATGTGGCAGAGGGAAGGGTGCTGGCAGCTGGGGGAAGGAAGCCTACTCTTGCACAAATTTCATGCATGGGGCCTCTAGTATATATGAAGAGGTAATATGCAAATTAAACTGGGATGCCATAAGGTCACGACCAGCTCAGGAGGAGGGGCCTGGCACCACCCAATCCTGAGAGATCAACACAGAGGGGTGCCTGCTCCGGGCCTCTGTGGTGTGGCTGGGAGCAGACCTCCCACAGACACACATACATACACACACACACACACACACACACACTGCTCTGAGCCTCCAATGTGGCTGGGGGCAGAACCCCAGTGGGGCAAC